AACTGCTTTGGAATGTGCACTGCGTTCCGACGGTAGTGCTAAGCAAACAGTTAAATTTTAAAAGCGCGGTTATAAGATCTAACAGATCTTCTTGTCTTAATCTAAGCGCGGTGGCTACGAGCCATTTGAAAATAGGTCCTCATTCTTACTTTGTTTCATCGACGAGGTTGTTTAAGACTGCAAGCTCTCTTTCAGTTATGGCTTCATCCAATGACAACTCATTCTCAAAGTACGTTGATTGGTGGCAAACAACCTATGTAATGACATATGTACATGAAGAAAGCTTCTCAGAAGGCATAATTAGGTTACGTCTTATCGGTATCAGCCCCTCTAAATCACTCGCCTGTATTCTGATAAGTTCAAAGGTCTCCTCAGTTATCTTGGCTACATATATTCTTATGAGTCACAATTTCACACAATTTCTGAATTTTATATCAGAGAAACACTGTTAATTCGTCATGTTTACCTATCGAAAAAAAATACTCCACCCTGCATGAGCCATTATAGAAACCGAAGGTCTTATTATAGAAATTTTACAAAAACGCAATTTCAAAGAAAGAATGCGACCTCCAAGCACGCAATTTTAAGAGCAGTGGCAAAGAAAGCCTACAAACAAACCTGATGTTTCAACAGGAGCCTAAATCATTACACATAACCATATCAATAAGTCAGTGTCAGACCACAGTCAATGGCGACTTCCATGTCCAGGTATCATGAAGCCTAAACTAAATCGACGAATAGACTGAACTGCCACTTACGGTTTAGGTGCTTTGGAGCACATTTTTGCACTTCTTTCTTGGGTTTGGGAAAACAGGGCATTTTAACTTACATTCTTGTATTCTTCGTCTATCAGTTTGTCATCTACAATGTAATTTGGGAAACCAATGTTCTCAACCATCAGTTCGACCTGCAAAATCACGGAAGACATAAGAAAAAACAAATCACTTGAGCTATTGAAACTAACTTTTTAATTTTTCTTTTCAACCCTTGCAACTATGAACTGCACACCGTGACGTGCGTTTTGGTCATGTATACTCACAACCAGGAGGGAGGGGGTGACTCTATTGTGTTTCGGTATTGATTCGTGACCGACTCATTGCTACCAGTGTGACGTCACATAGCAACGAGTGAGCGCTTCGAGTAGCTTGTTCAGATTACGCCATTGAAGAAAGACAACAGAGGTTAAGAAAGACCAAAAAACAGGCCTAATATCGCTTTTGTTCGCTAAGTATAGGTGTGTACAGTTTATTGTTGCTTTTTGTCTGTGTGCATTATTTGTTTTAGTTTTGTACGCGCGTTATCGTGTATCCTTGTTGAATTTTG